TGAGAATACTTAAGTTTTTATTTTTTAACTTTTTAAAATTAGATCTTTATTAAATTAGACCACAACCAATATACATACAGAAATTACTCCTCTATTTTTCTACTAAATCTCTTTTGGATTTACACTCGTTTTTCCTTCCCCTTTTTAGGTTGTCCAGACTACTACTCAGATTGCCTGCTTTGAGATTGATGAATGCTACCATCACTGAAGAATTGTTTTTCAAAGGTCTCATTGGCAATGTACGAATTGACAGTGTCATCCCACATATTTTAAAAATGGAGCCTGCAGATTATAACTCACAAATAATTGGTCACAGCATCTGAAGGCTGAGATGTCAGTATAAACTTAACTGTTGTTTCCCAGAACACAAGAAGACACCATATTGAACTCATTGCTTCCAGGGTATTGAGAAATTTTGACTTTAAAGAGTACCAAAAACCCAGGGTGTTTTTATTTTAACTTCTTAAGAATTTTTGAAGTGACTGGGCAGGTGGCAGGAATTAGAATTTCCCTTCCTGTCTTAAGTGAATAAGAAATACTATGAATTTATTCTTGGTTAAGATGACACCCTAAGCTATCACTTCTTGGCATCTAAACTAAGACCACTTACTATATTTTATCTTATAAAACAAATAAATTAGTCTCTTTTTTTTTCCAGAATTGTGTTCTATTCATGTTTTCATTATGAACTAGTACAAACATTTAATCTTCAGAAATCCCTAAGGAGGATTTCCTTGCATTTTACTCTTCCATAATCTGTTTTAATTACCATGTAAAAGATTATTTTATGCTTAATGGTATAACGATAACATTAGAACCATAGGAAATAATAAAATATATATATATTTTTTGTCTTTTGTAAATATTATGGCACCCTTAACGTATACCACTCTCATTGCTGGCAATGAGACATAAGCCTACATGATCTCAAGACTTTTTTTAGTGTTGTATATTATTAGTTACAAGCACTTTTTATTTATGTATGTAGCAGAAAATTGTTTTTGAGAATGAGATAGGGTTCATGTTTTAATATTTTTGGTTTACTGCTGTGTTTTAAAAGTAGTAGAGACTGAGCCCAAAATGTTTCAGTATTTTAAAATAGATATTAAAATTGTTGCTCTTCCATTCCACAAAAAGCATTGGACTTCTCTCCCTCTTTTCTGACCTGCATTAGAACTTCCTGACCCTTCCGTGAGTTTTAGCCCTTTTCTTTTAGGTCATTAGAAATACCCAGTTTGTTAAATAATGGATTTATCATAGCCAATCTGTGTTTTCAAGGTGAGTTAAACAATTATTTTAAAGCAGATTGATAATTTTTAAAAATTTAAGTTTTTTAATATGTAAAGGAATATGCACTGATGTTTCACTGTAACGGGGGAAAGCTGTTTTAACAGTAGTACGAGCATCAGCCTGAAGCCTTGTTGCCACAGCAAAACCATTTTAGACTCCTTGGATGCCTTCCACAGTAATGTTTTCCTTAGCAAAACTGAGACTGTTAAATCTTTCTTTGCTCTGATTGTCATGATGAATTATTTTGGTATGTCTATGTGTTGATTTAAAAAAAAATGGAGATTTTATTGCACTCAGAGTACATTTTTTATAAAGATTTTTGCAATAGAAAAGCTGAATTTAGGGGAGGGTGTGGATTTTACAAATTGCTACTTTATAGTAAATCAGAAGTTTAAAAGTATCCACTTACAGTCTTTACCATCTTATTAAGGGAAACTTTTTTCCCTATTTAAAATGTGATTTTTATCAACAGGTTTATTTATAATTATCAGCTAGGAAAAACTACATTTAGTAGAAAATAATACAAATGGAAAAATCAGTAGGTTTATATCTTTATAAACCCAATGAAGTAAGCCAAGGATTCAGGAAAATAATTCTTTAAAATAATGTACTAATGGTTAATTAAGATACATGTTCCTTTCAGGTATTTGTCCTGATTAAATTTGTAGTTATATTTGGAAGTGTTTTTAAAACTATATTAAAATGTGAACTACATTAAAAATGTCCATTTATTTGATTTCAGAGTCCTGTTTGTTCAGTATTTGGTCATCCATTTGTTCTATTGTTAAGAAATCTCTAACAGGATTTATTAACTAGGAAGGGAAATGAGTGGAAGACATTTCCATATCCACTATTTTAGGACTATTTACAATTCCCTTTGAAGAATTTCTTCTAAAACTGCAGATTGACTATTAATTTATTTTCTCTCTCCTGAAATTTCAGTAAAATAACAGTAAAATGTAACCACACAATGATAAATAAAACAGGAAACAAGAAATCAAAGGATAAGAGAATTCAGTAAATTCTTGGAAAACAAAATGCAGGTAAAGAAAGACTAACTGACTTACTAGCAGAGCCAGAACGAAGGAAGCTCTATTCTGAGTGCCTGCAAAAGGCAGTTCAGTGAAAAAGGCCAGTATCCTCAGAAAAGATGCTTAGTACTTGGAAGAACTGGTACTCATATTCCGAGATGATGCTTGGGACATTAAAAAAAAAAAAAGATTGGTTGCAAGTCTGTGTACAAAATCATTGAATTACCTTTTCCTGCCCTTACTTAAGCCAGCTGATCTCTTTCTATCCTTCTGCCTTTTTGATCAGAGGGTCAGAGGTTAATTCTCTTGAGCAACTGAACTGGAAGATCAGACTTAATGGCACCAGGAATAACAGAAAGCCTGGGTTAGATATGTATAGGCTTGAAAATATGGGTTAAATGAAAATCTGCATTCTGAATGTGGGCTCCATAATCATGTTCCCACAATGCTGGCCATGGGTATAGGCTCCTCTACCAGGGTTTTTTTCTTCAGAGAAATTAATTGGTCTTAGAGAAAAGATCTCCAGATACTCACTTTTGGTTGTATCTTGATGAAAAGCCTGCTTGCCACTTTATCATTCTTCAGTGAAGCCCACTAATTTCAAGTCATAGAAGTATACATGCGGTTTCTATTCAATTCTTTATTGCCTACTATTAAATATGAACTTAGAACCAGGATCACCGATAATTGAAAGTATCCAATACATAAGAGATCAGACACTGTTAGGGCTGAGGGCAGGCAAATAAAATCCAGGGATCAGAAAAATATCCACCCTCAAGGGTAATTAACATTTTGAAAGAAAGTCAAATGAGAACAGGATGCTTTGGGGGGGGGTTTCAAATTTTTATTTAAATTCTAGTTAGTTAACATACAGTGCAGTATCAGTTTCAGGAGTAGAATTCACTTACATGCAAAACCCACTGCTCATCATAACAAGTGCCCACCTTAATACCCATCCCCCATCCAGCCCCTCCCCCACCTGCCTCCCTCCATCAAGCCTTAGTTCTCTACCATTAAGAGTCTCTTATGGTGTAAATACCGAGTAGTGCAATTGCTGGATCGCATGGTAGCTCTATTTTCAACTTTTTGAGGAACCTCCATACTGTTTTCCAGAGTGGCTGCACCAGTTTGCATTCCCACCAACAGTGCAAAGAGGGTTCCCCTTTTTCCGCATCCTCGCCAACATCTGTTGTTTCCTGTGTTATTTTATCCTTTCTGACAGGTGTGAGGTCGTATCTCATCATGGTTTTGATTTGTATTTCCCTGATGTTAAGTAATGTTGAGCATCTTTTCATGTGTCTGTTAACCATCTGGATGTCTTCTTTGGAAAAATGTCTTTCATGTTTCTGCCCATTTTTTAACTGGATTATTTGTTTTTGGGTGTTGAGTTTGATAAGTTCTTTATAAACTTTGGATACTAACCCTTCTCTTAGTCCACAGACTGCCTTTTATTTTTTTTTTTAAGATTTTTTTATATATTTATTTGAGAGAGAATGAGAGACAGCACGAGAGGGAAGAGGGTCAGAGGGAGAAGCAGACTCCCTGCTGAGCAGGGAGCCCAACGCGGGACTCGATCCTGGGACTCCAGGATCATGACCTGAGCCGAAGGCAGTCGCTTAACCAACTGAGCTACCCAGGCGCCCACATAGGCTGCCTTTTAGTATTATTGATTGTTTCCTTCGCTGTGCAGGAACTTTTTATCTTGATAAGGTCCCAACATTTTGCTTTTGTTTCTTGCCTCCGGCAACATGTCTAATAAGTTGCTTTGGCGCTCTTCTAGGATTTTGATGGTTTCCTGCCTCACATGTAGGTCTTTCATCCATTTTGAATTTATTTTTGTGTATGGTGTAAGAAAGTGGTCAGTTTCATTTTTCTGCATGTTGCTGTCCAGTTTTCCCAACACCATTTGTTGAAAAGAGACTCTTTTTTCCATTGGATATTCTTTCCTGCTTTGTCAAAGATTAGTTGACCTTATAGGATGCTTTGAAAAGGTACATTTGGAGTAAGGAACTGTCCTTGGAACTTAAAAATGATAGCCAAACCAATTCATTAAAAGGGTTGGAAGATAAAGTTGTTGAGGAACTCACCCTGAAAACATATAACCAAAAGATAAATAAAGAAGAAAAAATAAAATTAGAAAATCAAATCAGGAGGCCTAACATTTTACCAGCAAGAGTTTAAGAAAACAGAAAAGACAGGCACCTGGGTGGCTCAGTGGTTAAGCGTCTGTCTTCGGCTCAGGTCATGATCCCGGGGTCCTGGGATCGAGCCCCGCATCAGGCTCCCTGATCAGAGGGAAGCCTGCTCCTCACTCTCCTGCTCCCCCTGCTTGTATTCCCTCTCTCGCTCTCTGTCAAAAAAAATAAAATCTTTAAAAAAAAAAAAAGACTTGAGGTAAGGAAATTATTAAATAATACAAGAAAAGTTACATAAAAGGATATGTGTCTGTCTCTAGGTTGAAAGGATACACCCTTTTTTAAAAAGATTTTTTTATTTATTTGAGAGAGAGCCTGTCTAGAGTGGTGGAAGGGGCGGAGGGAGAGGAAGAATCTCAAGCAGACTCGCCGCTGAGTGTGGAGCCCTAATCAGGGCTGGATCCCAGGACTTCAAGACCAAGACCAGAGCTGAAATCAATAGTCGGAGGCTTAACTAACTGAGCCACCCATGCACCCCAAGGATCTACCCTTTAAATGAAAAAGATCCATACTGTCTTAAAATCAGAACAGTATAGTCAAAGAATATATTATATAGCTGCTTCTAGCAATATAGTGGAATAGGTACTGTGAAGGCCTTTTTTTCTATTGCTGGGCTCGTAAGTTTGGCATGAGTTCTCAAAGAAGGGTAAGTTTGGTGCAGGTCATGAGATCCCCCCCCACCTCTGGTTCTGGCGGAAGCAAATATACATCTTCTCTGGAGAAAATACCCATAATTTAGGTAAGTTGGCACACTTTTGTAAAGGGCAGAAAGTAAATATTTTTTACTTTGTGGGCCATCCCGTGTCTGTAGCAACTACTCAAATCTGCTATTGTAGTGCGAAGGAGTCAGACAGTACATAATGAATGGGCCTGACTGTGGTCTGGGAGAACATTTACAAAAGCAGGTAATGGACTGAACTTGGCCCTTGGGGCATAGGTTGCTGGCCCCTGATTTAGAATCTCAAGGCTGTCCCAGATTAAGCTCACCCATATATGAGCTCACAAAATTATTAAACTCACAAGGAAACAAGCCACTTGAACGAGTCCAAAATAAGCAGCACATAAAGACTCTGAAAGACAATATGAGATACAGAAATTGCCACATCCAGATTATAAACATATATGACAGGTTTTAAGGAAAAAAACGGAATCAAAAAGTAAGCAAGAAACAGGAACAGCAGAAAAGACCAAACTTTAAAAACAA